GACCAGGAAGAGAGCTAGTTTGGGGAGCAAAGCCAACCCATTGATAATGGGAAAGTGGAGAGATGGGAAAAACTGGGCCTTTCAATCATTGGTCCATTGAATTAACCAATCCTGGACCCTCCTTTACCACCAGAATTCTTGTCATATAAGAAAATAGGACCAGGTGTGGTGGCTTATTCCTGGCCTCCCAGCACTTTGGGAGGCCGAAGCAGGAGGATTACTTGAGCCCAGGAGTTCGAGACCAGCCTGGGCAACGTAGTAAGACTCCGTCTATATTTTTAAAAATTAAAAATAAAATAAGACCTTAAATAGCTCTATTATTTAAACTTTGTTGTGCTGAAGTTTCATCCCTTGCAGCTGACAGCTGCTAAACTGATACACACGAACACTCGAAGGTAGGAATTTGTTTTCTCACGGCTGCCCCATGCCTAGGGTGGTGCCTGGAATATAGTAGGTGCTTGCTTAACATTTGCTGCAGAAATAAATGGAGGCCAGGGCCTGAGGCATTTGCATTCTGAGAGTCAGTTTTGCTTCAGTCTGGTGGGAAGCCCTGGGGAGAGAGGGAGAATTCTTTATGTGTCATGTGAAGGGACGATGAGTACTCTGAGCTTCGGAAAGGAGACATCAGACACTCAAGCAGGAATGGACTGGGTTTAAAATCAGGTCTCAGTCTTGAAGTATGAAAGTGAAAAAAGAGGGGAAAGAGATGTAGAAAGCACCAGAGGAAGACAGGAACTGCTCTGGGAGAACCTTGTTCAAATTCTCCTTTATCAGTTTGAAAGCCCAATTTCTGCCATGTAAGGAATGATATTTTTTTCCTTTCTGGGAGTAGCAGCCTGGGAGACTTGTTCTTTAGTCACGAGCCCTGTTTCAGAAGATAAACTATACAGATTGCAACAAGGAAAGAGAACATGTAATGCTTGCAAATTTCCTGTGCAAAGTTGCTGTCTGCCTAGAAATTATGCTCACTGGCGGTTTAATGTTTCAGTTAGAGAATACCTCCAATGAGGTAATGCAGCTATGACTGGGTGTCACCTTGCCCATCAGCCCATCCTCCCCGGCCCTGGGGAGTAATAAGTGAGGTCAGAATGCCCCCATCCCATCCTGGCTTGTAGCAGCTGCCTGGGGGTGCCCCAGTGTATGTGGGAGTGTGCAGTCCTTTCTCTGTCACCATCCTCTGCACATTCCCTGTGAGAACAAGTGAATCATGCCACATGGGAATGTTCTGAACTACTCTGATTTATCCTTTTGGTTGGACAGTGTAGGGGTTTAAGCTGGGAACTCAAGGCAGAGTGGGTTCAAATCTCAGCTCTGCCACACACTGTCTGTGGGCAAGTCATATTGAAACAGGAGGGTTCCCTGGCCCCTTTTGCAGGATGTGCAACAGGAGTGTGTCTCTCTATTGGGCCACCAGGAGCTCAAACTCTTTATGGCAGGGGACAGGGAGAGGGAGCACGCAGACAGGCAGGTGCATAACCAGGGCAAGGGCTTTTGGGCTTGGGCCCCATGGCTGGCCATCACTGATCTGCTGGTCTGCTGGTCTGTCCTGGAGTTTGGGATTTGGGGTTTATATGGGGGCAAGATAGGGGGCATTGTGGGCCAAAAAGGCAACTTTTGAGGCATGAAAACGGGAAAGTCTGTTCTCATTTATTGACCTGGGAATCCAGGCTTGAGGGTGGGGCCTTTGCTGGGGAACCACCCTCTTCTACCTAGTACTTCTCTGTCTCCTGTTTGTATCAGTATTTATGTTGGGCAAATCATTTACCCTCTCTGTGCCTCTGTTTCCTCATCTGTAGGAAAGGGGGATACCATCAGTGCCTACCCCAGATGGTCAAATGAGGATTAATCTATGTGGTTAAGACCCTGGGGCTTGCTGTTATTCTCCCTAACAGAGGGTGACGGGGCCCCAGGTTTTTACATGGGGAAGAGGAGGTGATTCCAGACAGCGACTGGGAATGATTTCCACCGTGGGGCCAGAGCTCAGAAGGCCCCAGCATCGAAGCCTGGAGGTCAGGGACAGCCTTGAGGGCTGGTGTTCAGACAAATATGGGACAGAGGGGTGGGGACTCCAAACCATGGGTGAACCACAGGAGGCTTCGAGGTGGGAACCCCAGGTAAAATGGGGCCTGGGGAGGGAGGGCAAGTGTGGCCTGTGCCCAGAGGTAGCAGGGTGCCAGGGAGATTAATGAAGTTAGGGAACTGGAAATGCTGTGCAGGGAAGTCGGGTAGGGCCACAGTCATTGGCTTCAGACCTGGCCTTGACATCAGAGGCAGGGGAACAGCCTCGCAAGAGGACGAAGTGGGCAGGACTCCCTCTGAGGATGGATCCTTCCACCAGTCCCTGAAATCCCTGATCTCTAGGATTGGGGAGAGGGTTAGGAATACCACTGCCCAGCCATAATGGACAAGGAAAGGGAAGCGAAGGTGAGGAGCCTCCAGCGAGGAACTTAACCCTCTGTGCAGACCAGAGAGACCGGTGAGAGGCTGTCAGGCCTCATCTCTGAAGAGCCGGCTCTAGAATGAGTATCCAGGGAAGGTTTGGGGCTAGGCTGGCTTGGACAAAGTGTTCTCTCCTGGATCTGGGCACCTGGCCATGTGATTGTCCCAGGGAGGGCCACATGCTGGGAGAGGGTAGGGCCAGCTGCAGAGGAGGGGCAGCTGCTGAGATAAGGCCCCTGGGGAAGCCACCCAGCTTATCTCTATGCAGCAGGCAGAGAGAAAGGCCCTCTGGACCAAAATGAGCTAGATCTGCCAGAGTTCTAATGATAAAGGGTATCCTATTTCCACGTGCCAGTGTTTCCCATGTATATACTTTCCTCAGAGCTGCTCAGCGTGGTGTGAGGACCTGGAAGGTGGGAAGCCCCTGTCCCTGTAGATGCTCAGCTGGCTCTGGTTGGCTCTGGCCGGGCTTTGTGCACCAGCAGGAAGCTGTTCCTCAAGGGCCCGATGATATCCCTTTGCAATCTCAGATCCTCTGGATCTTTGACAGTCTCCCTTCTTTTGGTGCACTGAGCAGGTGGCAAGTTTCCCAGGGCAGTAAGGTTGTCATCTTGAGCGGACAAAATGAACGAGGTCTCCAGGGCACCATGTAGACTTTGCTGTCTTAGCAGAGATCTCTCAGGGACTCACTCCTGTGTGCCAGCTGCCCCCTTTTCCCGAGGACAGTCAGAGCCTTGCTGAACTTCCTTGGAATCTGTGTGGATCTGCCCTGGGTGGCTGGAACAGCCCAAGATAAGGCTAGAGAGACGTGCGGGCCCTGCAATTGTCCACCTCTGTGCCCAGGCAGGCCAGGCTAACAGTGGGGATGAGAGTGTGCAGGCCTGGGCAGCTGAGAGAGCCTCGTGCTGGCCTGAGCACCAATCAGCTCTTTGCCCCATTTTACCCTGACAGGAGCCTGCAAAGACAGCATCAAGAGTATGGCTATTGTCTTTCATATAAGAGGATGCCAGGTCCCAGAGTGGGCTGGTAGCCACCTCCTAGTGACGCTGTGGATCCGAGATACATCTTTCACTCCTTCTCCTCCTTTTTGATGGTCATGGCAGGGTTCTTCTTCTTCAACAGTGGGGATGGTCTAGGATCTCTTCTCCCAAACAGAAGTCACCCTAGGTCTTATAAACAGAGGTGATTTGATACAGGGAAACTGGTAATCAAACTGGCTAGTGACTTAAGCAAGCCAGAGATTTACTACTACTGTCCCACAGAGAGAAGGTAGTGTCACCAAAGCCCAGAAACCAGGGCACCTTTCAGAGTCATGGTGGAGGCTTTTGCATGGGAGCTGGGACCATGGAAGGGGGTTCAGTTTGGCGGAAGCTGGAGTTATGAAGGAAACAGCACTGCCAGAAGTGCTGCCCAGAATGAATGGGGAGAAACACCTGGTTATCCTCCTCCTCCTGCCCACCAGCCTGTATCAGTGCCTCCCCGTAGACATACTTTCAGGAAGCCAGAGGGCAAGGCAATGCCCTACGGTACAGAGCAGGGCAAGGAATGAGATTTGCAAAAGGCAAATCTCAGAGCAGGGCAAGGAATGAGATTTGCAAAAGGCAAATCTCAGATGTAGTGTCCAACATCCCCATGACCAAGTATAGTCCAGGCCCAGCCTCAGACCAGGGCCGACCCCAGCTCAGGGGTTCCTATGCGAACCGAGGCCATGTTAGCCTTGTGCTCTGAGCTCTGAGTTATAATACAGGCAAATGAACAGGAAGACAATCTGGGAAACCCCACTGTGGGGCCAAGAGGGCACCACCCATTTCCATGCATACCTGGACTCCAAGCCTGGCTCCTTCACGCCTTAGCTGGGTGACTCTGACTGTCACAAGGAGCTCCAGCACCTCCATGAGTGTCAGTTGTTCTCATCTGTTCAACTATGCCCTCATGGGTATATTATGGCGAGGACTAAATGAAACAAGACCCTGTGTGAAATGTCCTAGAACTGCCCTTCTCTTCCTTTGGCCAGGGGTTGCTTAGATTAGCAGCAGTCCTTCCATGCGACTGCAGGCTGGGAGGCCAGCAGGGAATTCGGCTCCAGCAGGCAGGGCTGCCAGCTGCAGGGCCTGCTCTGACCTCAGAGGGGCAGCCACCATGGGGGGGCCGGGGGACAGGAGGCTGCAGCTGCCGGCCCCATCTGTCAGTGGTAGATGTGGGGTGAGGGGAAGAGGATGAGCTGGGGAGGGAGGGAGGGAGACAAAGGAAGGGGAGAGTAAGATAAATGAGCGGGGAGCACCAGAGGGTGGGCTACCTTCTTCCTGGAAGCCACCCTCCCTTCCTCTGCTCCCTGGTGGCAGTGTCACAAGGCCACCTCTTAAAGACATAGAAATGATCTGCAAAAGTGGGCAGAGAGAGAGAGTTGTCCCCAGAAGTGAAGGGACAGTGATACCTGGGACAGGTTGTATGAACAGGCAGTGGTGGACAGTGGGATTTGCTAGGGTGGGGAGGGGAGGCAGGGAGGAGGAGGATGGTGGAACTGGTGGTGGAGGAGGTGGCAGGGGTGGGAGCCTGGAGGTATGGCTCTCACACTAGGCTTTAAGAGGGACTGGGGAGTGGAACATTCCACTGAGCCTGACCCCACCTCTTCTAGGTGAGCTGGCCAGAGAGTTTAAGTGACTTTCCCAAGGGTCACTCAGCTAGTTGGTTCTGGAGTCACTCACTGAGCCTGGCTCCAGAACCCCAAAGACAGGGTGCAGCCACCTTGGTGAAGCCTCAGTGGTCACCTCCTAACAGTCCCAGTCACTGTATCCCAGGGACGCCCAGGATCAACTCATTAACCAGCTGCCTGCACGGCTTGACCCGGAGGCCGGAGCCTTTGCCTCTCTGCACCCTGACGCCCATGGGGGGCGGGGGGTGGTCAGAGAGGGAGCGTGGACCGCTGGCAGTGCATCTCTCCGTTGTCATGGCAACCCGGGCACTGTCTGCACCTGTCACTCATGAGGACTGGAGCTCCTGGGGTGGGGGCGGGGTTTTCAGATGCTTAATCTGCCCAAGCGAGGCTGAGACCCCTGGGCTCGCCCCATCCTGCTCTCTTCCCCCGTGTCCTCAAGACAGTCACGGCCTATTTCCACTCCATCCCTTTCCTGGGCCGCATGCCCTGCCCTGAGTGGATGGGGTGGTGGCCAGGCCCGGGTCTGTAGCAGCTTCTGGCCCCATTTTCTGAGTGACCTCCCTGGGGATGGTCAGCCTCCTGCGTTTAAACGCAAGTCCCTCGCTGCTGGAACTCGTTCATTTAGCCAGAGGAGGGTCTGGTCTGGGTCTCTCCCCACCAGAGTCCCAGCCCTGCACTGGCTGCCTACTGGGCAGCTCCTCAGAGGCCTCAGAGGCTCCAACCTCGCCCTGCATCTGAGCAGTGCTGTGGCCTTCTCTGCAGAGCCTGCTCTCCCCTTCCACACTGTCCTCATGGGCACACAGTCCCCCGTCCAGGTGCTTGGGCCGGAACCTTGGCCTCCTTTCTCACCCAGGCACTCTGTGTCAGCACATCCCACTGGCTCTACCTTCAAAACATGTCCTCAATCCAACCATTTCTCACTGCCCCACTGCCACTCACTGTGAAGGCCAACCTCCTGTCCTCCTTGGATGACTGTGACAGCCACTCTGCCCCACCTTCTCCACCCAGTCATGCTCACAAAAGCAGTCAGAGCGGCCCCATTGAAAAGTAAGCAAAGCAAGCATCTCCTCCACTTAAAACCCCACCAGCTGTCACCTTGCAGTGAACAAAGGCTACAGTTCTTAGGATTCTGTGACCTGTACTCCCACCCTCTGAAGGCCAGTCTGCAAAGCTGTGGGGCTTGCTGGCACCCAAACTTTCAGTCCTCACTCCAATGTCACCCTCTCCATCAGGCCCGCTCCCTTCAAACTGCCACACCCCACGGCTCCATTTATCCCAAAGCATTGTACTAATAATCACTCACTCTTCACGAAGACCGCTGCCTCCTGGCTGTCTCCCCACATGGGGACTTTGTGAGGCTGGGGCTCTGGGCCCACACAGGCAGTTAGTTAGCACGTGCTCTGTGACTGAGCCCCAGCAGGGGTGGTGCATTCATTTGTCCACTCCAGGGCCTGCAGCATCTTGGTTTGAATCACACAATCCAATGTTTCTGTTAATTTGAAGGTGGAGGCCAACTTTAGCCAAAAATCAAGGTAATTGAAATAAAAACCTAGACATCTAAGCTCTCTGGGAAAAAGGAGGAATCTGTCCACAGTGCCCACTCCCATCTGAATAAGTTGGCTGGGGCTGGGCTGAGGTCTTCCCCCTTAGGTGGGGCAACGGTCCCGCCAGCCCCTGGTGCTCACTACCGACCCTATTACTCATGTTCCTAAGCCTCCAGCCCTCTGGGGCTCTGAGTTTGGCTCTCTGATTACCCCAGTCATCTTCCCCTGACCCCGCAGTGGGTCCCTTCTGCTCTGTGGCAGGGTCTGCCTGGAGCCATGGGGCAGACTTGGTCCACTCCTGCTTGGGGTAGGAGGTGGTTGCTGTGCAGGGGTGATTGGAGGCCCAGAGGGTTCTGCATAATACACACAGGACAGTGGTCAGGCAAGGCTCCCAGGGAGGCGGCCTCCAGGGAGAAGTCAGCCTAGGGGAGAGGAGACCATGGAGGAGCTAAGGAAGCCTCTGGGGTATTCTGGAGGTTTTAGGTGTGGAGGGCTCTGAGAGGAGAAGGTAGGGGCAGGTCGGCCCAACAAAGAGCCGGAAGCCAAATGCCACCGACTGAGCAGCATGGAGGCCCAGCTGCATTCTGCCTCCGTGGGGAGACACTGAAGGCTGCAGCCAGGGACGGGACGTGGTGTGGTCGATACGGAGGTGTGCCTCCCCACTCTCGACATGCCTTGTTGTAGGTGTGCAGTGGAGACCACCTCTAGCTGTCAGCTTCTTCAGGGACAGCTTTGCCTGAGGCCACCCCCTCCTGAGGGCTCTAGGGGATAAAGGCCCTACCATTTCCATCCGCTTGGGGCACTGAAGGGTGTGTTCCATCTGGAGCTCCCCTCTGGGTTGGCTGAGGGTTCTCGATTTTGCATTGCAGACTGACTTCTCCCTCTGCCCAACGTTCCCCCACCAACACTTCTTCTCACAAGGGTTGGTCCCTAATAAACATCTTTCACCCCAAACTCATGTGGCCGGTGGGCCGAGGCAGGCTGGAGAGGAGGGTACCCTGCAAAGTCAGGAGGTAAGCTGGGAAGTTCCTGCACCAGCTTGAGCCGAGAGGAGGAGACCTGAGTCATGCCATGACTATGGGCATGGAAGACCAGAGAGTTTCAGCAACGATGCATCACATGGGATTCAGCCCGCTGCTACTGAAGTAGGAGTGACCTGAGTGCAGATCCTGCCTCCACAATTTCCTGGTGACTCTGGGAAGCCCCCTGTACCTCTCTGAGCTGCAGCGATCATATCTATAAAATGGCAAGTATAGGGACGATGACTGTCTTGCGGGGTGGTTGTGAGGGTTCAATCGGATAATAGACTCAAGAAGCTCAGGCAGGGCTTGGTATGCAGTTTGCAACCTTTTTGTAAAGGTTGCATTGACAGGTTTGGTATCAACCATAGAACCCCAGAGCCAATCATCAATATAAACATCTGAGCAATGTGAGCCCCTCTCAGCCCTGGTGTGGCCCGGAGAGGGTATTCCCACCGAAAGCAAAATACCTATTGTGGTCTTTTCCTCCACAGATGAGTGGGGTCTTTTGAAGTACTGAGAATTGGTTGGGGACACACATTGCTGTCTTTGTGGAGCCTGAGCGGGTCGGGGATCCAGGGCCAAGGGAAATGTTGCCAGAGGGCTCAGAAGGGTCACCAGAGGCCAATGAGATCCCAGCCCAGCAAGTTCCCAGGTTCTTGATACCATCCAAAAAAGAGTTCAGGGAGGAGTTAGAATGAAGTGAGGGTTTGGGTTTCTAATTTTGTGGGTGTGTAATTAGTGGGTGGAATAATCATTAGGTATTCTGGAAAAGGAGGGGATCTCAGGGACCCCCCAGTTACTGCCCCCTTTCTCTCTTATTTGAGTTTGCCTGGAAATCCAAATAAGACGCAGGCATGTTATGGGCGTGTCACGGTGACCAGGATTTGGGCCGTTTTCTCTCCCTGATTTTGGGTTTTGGGTTATTCTGTGGTTTCTTTACCCAGTTCTCGTTTTATGTTGTTTGGGTTTCTCCATCCTCCTGTGACTACCCAGTACTACTCCTATCTAAGAAACACTGGCCACGTCTTTCCAGCTCCCAGTTGCCGCTGATGGGCCTGAGGGGTGTGTGTGGGGTATGAGCAGGCTGCAGCTTGGCTCTGGGAAACTGACTTCCGAAGGGTTCCTGGTAGTCATGAGTCCCAGCAGGGCATGTGATTGGGCACCTGGACGGCCGTGCCCATTATTAAGCTACTGAAGTCTTTGCACAGAGCAGGGTAAAGAGCCACTGCCTGGAGCTCCTTGAGTGTGGCTCCGTTCCAGATCCTCCCTGGCATTCCATCCCCCTTCCTACTCACCCAAGGTGAGTAGATGAACGCCTGGCCCTGGGCCCCTCTGAGTGGCTGGTGCTCCTGCCAAGATGTCACAACTGTCTGCAGGTTGCCTGTGGGACCATTCCTGTGGCTCATTCCAGGAATGTCCTGCCACGCTCTGTGCTACTGGGGACATGGAGCCGTGGTGGCACACAGCTATAACTCTGTTCTCCTGAACCACGTATCTACTGGGGGAGGAGGAGAGCCCAGAGGAAATCCAGGGCACTGTTTTTAGAAACAATATCGTCACCAGCACTTACTGAAAGGCTTTCCTTGAGCCTAGTGTTGTTCTTAGCACTTCCCCTGTGCTATCAGATTCAAGCTGCCCACACTCAGTGGGGTGGGGGCTGTCATTATTTTACTTATTCTCACTCATGTTCTGGGTGAAGGTCACACAGCTAGTGAGTACGGAGCAGGGACCAAACCCAGGCAGTCTGTTTCCAGAGACCGTGCTCTTGGTGGCAAAGGCCTGGCACAGCAGCGTAGAAAAAGGCCAGGTCTCTTGCCCAGGCATTCCGAGGCCACAGCTGATCTGGCATAGCTCCTGACTCCTGGGAGCTGCCCACTGGGCTTCCCTGGCCCCTCTGGGCCCAACCAGGCATCACAGGGAGCCCCCCCAGGTCCTCCCAGGCTTCTCTTTCTTTCCCCTGCACCCTATCACTGCCTCGTTGGAGATCTTGACAGTAGATGAAGTGACAAGCCTTTGCGCTTAATTAAGACACATTGTCCCACCAATTGGGAAGCAAAAATGGCTGGGCTGTTTTACAAATAGAAACAATTCTTGTTCATTATCCCTTAATTGTGGCAACAAAGGGCTCTGGAAAACATCCATCAGAACACATTCATGAACATTAGCAGAGAGGATTCGGTTTAGGACCACACAAAAGGAACAGCAAATGTTCCAATCAGGAGTTATACAGACAAAGGGAAACAAAGGCCTGAAAGCACAAATACTGAAGAATTAGCCCAATTACACACTCGATGTGGTGGGGAACAAGTTTCCTGGCTTCTGGCCAGCTCTTCTCCTTGCCTCTTTTTATCTTCTTCCTTTTCCCTGGTACCAGATGGATAGGGGAAAGAAAGGAACCTCCCAGACCCTCTGGGAACCCGGCTTTGGTCCCCAGGATGGGGAAGAGATGGGTTAACAGAGAGTCTTGAGGGACCCAAAACTGTAATCTGAATTCCAGATGTGGTCTGCCTGTAATTGTCACCTTCTTCATTTTGGTCACTATACTTCTTGTGATGCAACCTAAGATACTCTGTCCCAGTATGGATTTTAAGGTCAGCTTGTGGTTGGTTGAAGTTGCTGAACTGTTTTTATAACTTTTTTTTCAGGCTAGGTATTCCCCATCCTATATTTACATAATTGTATTTTAAGGTCCAAACAAGTTTATATCCATATTGTTTGTCCCAGCCCATTTGTCTGGTCACTCAGGGGAGCTGAGTGGATGTGGCCTCCTGGGACCACTACCCAGAACTATTCTTGGAAGCAAGCCTGCTTGTCTTTCTCCTCCAGGTTCTCTTGGGAGCTAGGTAAAGAGAAGCTTGCATGCGTTAAGATAGGAAGAGCTTTTAAAAAATCGTTCCTGATTGGTTAGGAAATGACTGATCCTTGTGTCAGAGTCATTTGAACCAGGGCAACTCCATCTTGAATGGTGCTGGGTAAAATGTGGCTGCGACCTACTGGGCTGCATTCCCAGATGGTTAGTCATTCTAAGTCACAGAATGAGATAGGAGGCTGGCACAAGATATAGGTCATAAAGACCTTGCTGATAAAACAGCTTGCATTAAAGGAGCCGGCTAAAACCCATCAAAACCACGATGGTGACAAAAGTGACCTCTGGCCGTCCGTCATCACTGCTACACTCCCACCAGTGCCATGACAGTTTACAAATGCTGTGGCAATATCAGGAAGTTACCCTATATGGTCTAAAAAGGGGCGGCATAAATAATCCGCCCCTTGTTTAGCGTATAATCAAGAAATAATCGTAAAAGTGGGCAATCAGCCTCCCTCAAGGTTGCTCTGTCTATGGAGTAGCTATTCTTTTATTCCTTTACTTTCCCAGTAAACTTGCTTTCACTTTACTCTCCCTGAATTCTTTCTTGCTCGAAATCCAAGAACCCCCTCTTGGGGTCTGGATCGGGGCCGCTTTCTGGTAATATCTTTCTTGCGACCACTGAAGGGACTATAGTGCGGAAACCCCTGACCCAAAGGCTACCTTTGGGTGAGTGGTGAGGTCTGGTAATATCTTTCTAGTGAACCACAGAAGAGACGATACTGAAGAACAACCCCCACATCGCCCCCCTCCCACCCCCACAATCTTCTGAAGGAAATAGACTGCAGCACTGATTGGCTGACTTTGGGTAAGTGGTGGGGTACCCGGGTAAAGGGTGGGACTGGGTTAGAGATCCAGCTTAGGGGAGTTACAGTCTTGCCTAAGACACAGGGTTAAAGGCTCTTCTTGATAAAAGGGAAGGATGCTTGACCAACCTTGGGTTTGAGGACCAACTTAGGAGTGTTAGAGCCCCTCCTAAGACTTAGGCTGTTAGAGGCCCTTTTCAGTAAAGTTCCTCTTGGCTAAGAACAGGTTTGGCACTATGGGATGGTAACTGCTATTCTCTTGGATGAATCTGTCTTGGACTCTTTGCTGATGGTAATGGGTGACAGAGTTAGGCATGTACAGGATTGTTGGACATGGGGAACTTTTTCCTCCCTAAAAGGGGAAACTTGAGAGCTGATGGGACTGCTGGAAGAGATCCCTTCAGGATTGAGAAGCAGCTGCCTGAACTTTTCAGTGTGGCTGCAACGGGGGGGATCTTTCCCTGGCCTCCCCTTCCCCACCCTGCCTCAGGCAATGCTTTCTCCCTCTCTGTCTCTGTCTCTCTCTCTCTCTCTCTCTCTCTCTCTGTGTGTGTGTGTGTGTGTGTGTGTGTATGAACTGGTTGAATGAATGGTAAAAAATCACTGTTTATCTCCTCTGAAAGTTTTGATTAATGGAAAAAATGATTTGTGAGGCTAGTTTCAAGCTGTAGTGAATCTGGTGTGCCTTGTGTGCCTTTCTGTATGGCTCTGTCATGGAGAGAGATACCTTGGGTTAGAATGCGGGCCTAGGACACCTGTGAGCCTGCTGTTCAAGACAGCCCAGCAAATTGATCAGTTACAAACTTTGCTACTTGTCCCTAAAAAAAGGCTGGATGAGGTTTCCTTCTTGTCTTGTATGTCCTTGGGAGCTTGATCCTGTAACCATGTGGCCATGCTTTCTCTTTTCACAATGGAAGCCCGGGTTCAGGGTTCAATCCCTAGCCTAAGGGATGAGCCTTTCTAATTGATATTTGGGTGACCTTTGCAATTTTAAAATTCTCTTTCCCTCCACAAGCCATCTTAAATTTTCCTTTCTCAGAGCCCCTGTGAGGTTACTTTTGGTAAAGTTTAAAAGCCAGAAATATCAGCCGTTTGGCCTGGCTAACGTTGGGTAATAAGAAATTTAAAAGGACTTTTCAAAAGAGTGCTATAATCAAAAGTCTGCTTAATTAAAAGCAGATATTCAAGTTCTAACAGCCCTAGGGATTCCCTGGGAAAAACAGAGGAGGCACTAAAGACCCCTGTTTTGGGAAAAACCTATTTTCCTCATGAAACCTTAGGAATTGAAAGTGAATAGATCCCTTTCAAAACCTAAGGTGCTGTTTTGTTTTGTATTGCGTTATCTGACGCTTTTTACTTTTGGTGGTATCAGAAGTTACTTTGCATTATGAGAGAATTTGGTGTGTAATAAGTAGGTAGGAAATACACTTTTAGGGAAGTCTAATAGCAGCTATGGGGGATACTTGGCTTTTCGCACATTTGGATCAGAGAAGCATGCTCTTGGCCACCTAGGAAATGTGGAGATGTCCCCATCCACTACTGAGAAATAAGACTTCCATGGGGTGATGGGGTGAATCTCTCTTTTTGGGGTCCAGGATCTCATATAAAAATGGGACCCTTACATTTTGGGGATCTGTTTTGCCTTCCAGCTGTGCCTGCTTATTAGGCCCTAAAAACTGCACACTTTAAAGAGAAACTTAGAAACTGGTAAATAAAAATCCTTACAACTACATAATCTTCTGTCTGTCTGGGTATTTATATGCATTGTGTGTGTGATGTTTATACCTAAAAGAACTTTACTTAATTGATTTTAAAATAATGAGAGCTTAACTCAAATATTTTAAAAGAAAAAAATTGTAATGTCTTTTCGTTTACATGACTTTAATAATCTTTGGGAAATAAAAACAGCTTTAAAGATTATTGGTAAAATAAAGACACTTGGTCTAAATCAGGCAGGTCAGATTTTAAGTTTGCTAAATGCTTTAAGGTCATAAACTGCTTCTTTGATTTTTAAAAAATTGTTAATTTATTTTGAAGCATTAGATTTAGATAAGGCTCGCAGACGTGTGGTGTTAGCCATGCCCCCAGCTGTGCTGAAAAAAGACCTTATCTAGTGTCCTAGGCTCCACACCTAGTACATAATTAAAATTGCATACTTACCAAGGTTTTCACCGAAAGCAAAAGTCACTAAGAGTTAACAGTGTAATGTGTATTTGAGACTACTGAAGAAACGGTTTTACATGCACGGTGTATAAGAAAATGGAAATGTGTTTTTGGTAAAAGATTATAAGAAGTCATAGGAATGTGGATTTTTCTTGCCTAAACTAAAGGGTTAAAGGATTATTTTAAGTCAGATAAGATAAAGCTGAAGGTTTAAGCAAGTTGTGGAAGGTTTGTGAAAAATTAATTGTAGAAGAAATTCTGTGTGTGGACATTGGCTAAAATTAAAGGGGTGTTATTCAGTTTTTCTGTAAACTGAACATTGAATAACAGCATGACAGGTTTTTCTTAGAGCACTATTCTGCTTTTTAACAAAAAATTGTAAAAGGTTAGAAAAAGTTTATGAGAATCTTATGATCAAACACAAAATTGGATAAATTTATTTATAAAGTTTTATTAAGAATTGGGTTTAACATTAATAGTACACTAATGTAAAGGTGAAATTTGGCTTATTTTGTATAGAAGCACACAGGAAGCACTGTCAAATATGAAATAGTATTTGGCTTTCTTTGGGCTATATTTGTATAAATATGTTATTCGTATGGGTTTCAAAATAATGGGAAACTTTTAATTCTGATATGGCTTAGTGTAGGTTATTAATAATTATAATTGTTACATAAAATTATTGTATGCCAAAGAAGTAACCAAATTTGTCAATCATGTTTTTTACTGTGGCTGTTCTAAAATGTTTTGTCATCCATGGACAATTGTTACTTTGTTTTAATCCTCTTTAGAAGGTGGTTTATAATCAGCTATAAACTCTAATAGGTGTTCTTAAATGCAGGTTTCTGATAACTTTGGAAACTGTGATATTAGAATAGAGGAAAAAACTTTCAGTACTCTCATGGAGAGCTGAAATGTTCATGAATATCAAACAAAACAGGAGTTAACTGCATGGACTGAACTTTAACTAGAAGATTAAAGTAATCTTTTCAACTTTTTGCTTAAAATGTTGCTAATCCTTTGTATTGTTTTACAGAGTCAAGAAAACTTTTCTTTTGAGCTATTTACAGCTTTTAACAATTGAGTAAAGTATATTCCTGTAAACGAAATTTGAGCATATTTGTTTCTGTCTACCTGATTTCTCAAAAATTCAGAAATTGTCTGTGAATAGCTTAACTTGTGGCAATATAGTTATTTGCATAAGTGTAATAAGAATCTGTTTTCTTTTGTAACAGGACACAGTTAGAGAAATTGGCTATTTTACCAAGGCGTTGACTGGAATGGTATGTTTTCCTTTAAGGAATTAAACTTGACTTACAGAGCCAATAAAAGACCCTTGGGAAAGATGTCCGCATACCTTGTCTACACAGTCCCTGTACAGGATTCTTGACTTGTGGTAAGTGAAGAATGTCAGTTTCTAGCAGGCCCAGGAGCCCCAGGTCATCTTGGAACCTCAAGAGGAGAGGAATTTACTCAACTCTTTGATGGTACAAACTGATGGCGGGGCTCAGCTTTAAAAAATCTTATCTGAGATTCCTTATGGAACAGAGTTCCATCAAAGCCAATTAAAAAGTCTATGTGAAAAATAATTATTCTTGCTGCACTTTACACAAATAATTAGGCCAAGTATACAAAGCAAATCAGTTTTAACTGTGATTTGTCTTTAGTAAAATTGGGAAACTGGAGAGAGAACTTATGTTTCAACAACTATGGTACACTTGTTATTAGATTCTAGTCTCATCAGTTGTTTTTGAGTTTTTTCCTGCAACTTAGGCTGACCCTGCTTATTCTTGTGAACTAACCAGTGATCTTTGGCTGCTGCTCAAAAGAAACAAAAAGGATGAGTAATGTCAAAAGCTGGATCAATATTCTAATTCTGGGCACACTGGAATCGTCTAGAAACCCCATATCAGCTTGGCCCATATCATCTTGGTTCCAACAGTTACCCAGTTCATGGAAAGCCTTCTTATTTAGTCAACTTGGAATAATTTTCACTTATTTTGCTTTACTGTTTTGGAATATGTTGCTGTTGTACATTTTGTGTAGGATGCAGGACAAGTTTACACAACGTTTTCTTAAATTAAACACATTAATTTTCTAGATATCACCTTTTGCTGGAACTCAAGAGTTATGAATGGCCCTCAGCATACCCATGCTTTCTGACTGAGCTCCTCTCTACCATGAATACAACAGACCCAATAGTTGGGTAGGGATAATATCGCCACTATTCAGCCTGAAGAAGTTATGGAAGATGGTTCTTCACCCTTCTGCAACCCTTAGAATTAAGGGTTCTCTTATAACAGGGATGGGGAAAATGTCAGAAGACTTTGAACCAGAGCAACTCCATCTTGAATAGGGAATGGGTGAAATGAGGCTGAGACCTTCTGGGCTGCGCTCCCAGATGGTTAGTCATTCTAAGTCACAGGATGAGATAGGAGGTCAGCACAAGATACAGGCCATAAAGACCTTGCTGTTAAAACAAGTTGCAATAAAGAAACCAGCTCAAATCCACCAAAACCAAGATGGTGACAACAGTGATCTCTGGTCGTCCTCACTGCTACACTCCCACCAGTGCCATGACAGTTTACAGATGCCATGGCAACATCAGGAAGTTACCCTATATGGTCTAAAAAGGGGCAGCACAAGCAATCCGCTCCTTGTTTAGCATATAATCAAGAAATAACCATAAAAAATAGGTGACCAGCAGCCTCAGGGCTGCTCTGTCTATGGAGTAGCCATTCTTTTATTCTTTAACTTTCCTAGTAAACTTGCTTTCACTTTGCTCTATGAACTGTGTACTGAATTCTTTCTTGTGTGGGATCCAAAAATCTTCTCCTGGGGTCTGGATTGGGATCCCTTTCTGGTAACACTGGTACAAAACTTGGAAATCACCAGAAAGTACAAAAAAACAGAAGTAAATAAATGGATCCCTCTGGACTGCAAGACAGTTTCTATGAACAATTTTATTTCCTTCTAGTCTTTCTTTCAGGCACATTTTCCCATTTGTGGTTGAGAACATGGAACCTGTGACCTCAACTCTGTAACCTGTCTTTTCCCCCTCTACATTTTACCATCTGCATTTTTTCATGTGATCGGAAACTCTTTCTAATCATCATTTTAGTGACTGCACAATGTTCCATCATATGGATGTGCCATAATTTTTTCCACTCGTCCTTATCCCAGAACATGTGGGTTGTTTCTAGCTTTGTTTGTTATGAGTGATTCTGTCTTGGGCATCTTTGTGCAGAGAGCGCTCATATGTCAGATTAGTTCTCTGAGACAGATTCCTCGCAGTGAAGTTGTAGGAGTTAAAATAACTATTTTAAGGGTATTGCTACATATCGCCAAATTACTTTGAAAAAAGCTACGCCAATTTATACTCTCACTAGCAAAGTAGGGCAGTACTTGTTCCAGTTTTTTTGTTTGTTTTTTAGAGATGGAGCCTTGCTCCGTCACCCAGGCCTGAGTGCAGTGGTGCAATCATCGCTTGCCACTAGAACTCTTGGACTCCATTCCTCCCGCCTCAGCTTCCCAAGTAGCTGAGACTACAGGTACAGTTCCAGTTTTGTAGCACAGATGTTCCTTGAGTTGTGATGGGGCTACGTCCTGATAAATCCACAGTAAATCGATAATATTGTTAAGTTAAAAATGCGTTTAATCCACCTAACCTACTGAACATCAGAGCTTAGCTTAGCCTGCCTTAAACATGCTCGGAACACTTAAATCAGCCTACGATTGGGTAAAATCATCTAACACACAGCCTATTTTTTAATAGTGTTGAATAGCTCATATACTGCATATGGCTAGCCCGGGAAAAGATCAAAATTCAAATTCAAAGTATATCAAAATTGTGATGGTTTCACACCATCATAAAGTTGAAAAATTGTAAGTTGAACTATCCTAAGTCAGAGACCATCTGTATTTATTTTGGCAGTATGTATATGCGTGTTGGGTGTCGAGGGGAGAGTTAGCACGTATCTCACGTGTTTATCTGGCTCTAGGAAAGGGAGAAATCGCCCGAGCCCCCACCACACTGCAGGGGGCTTCCTCCAAGCTGCATAATCAGCTGCTTGCTTCTCCCCAGTCCCCGCCCCCTCTGCATTCCTCCCAATTTGCCTAAACCTGGTGCAAACTGTGTCCCTCTCCTGTGACAATTCAACCCTTACTCCTTTTGCCTGTCTGCCCCACCCTCCTCGGAGGCTGGGTCTATTGCTCCAGGACACCCACGCACTGTGTTCAAATCCTGCTCCTGCCCCCCGCCCTAACGTCTGCCTGTGTGACCTGGGCAAGTTATTTCATCTCCCTGTGCCTCCGTTTCTTCCTCCGTAAATGGTGATAAAAATCGTGCCTACCTCCTTGGGCTGTTGTAAGAATTAAAGGAATTCAACATATGTGAAGCATGAGCACATGGTAAGCGCTGATTTGTGTTGGAACCATCTGCTTCCATCACAGGGAGTTTGTAGACTTTATTACAGGTTTGGGCCCCGCGGGGAGCCTGTGGCCCTGTGTATCTTCTACCTCTCTGTGTTCCCAGCAGGGCAACCAGAGTGGGCCCTTCATCCTCCACAAGAACGACTTCTGTGGTGACACCAACACCTGGAATGCGGATGCAGGCCTGGTATGCGGATGCAGCTCCAGCAAGCTCTCCGTACCTCCCGCCCTTTGAGCCCAAAAGTGATTGTTTGTCATCACCCCAGGCAGGTTTTGGGGAAGCTGACAGCAGAGAATGGCTGGCAGGATCATCGGGACAGCTAGATGTTCTCAGGGCTGCTGAGTCCTGACTTTTGCAGGCAGAGAGGAAAGAGTCTTCAAGTCAGAGGCTCCCAGAGGAGTGCTCAGCGGAGGCTCCTGCTGCCTTGCACCGCCCAGGGAAGCAGTCACTGGATGCTTCCTTTTAAGATGCCAACAGCTGTGGTCCTGACCCCTGTGGAGAGTGGTCAGGCCAGCAGGGGATGGACTAGCCAAGTCTACCTAGGGGAGCCAGGTACTCAGGGGATGGGTTACCCAAGGGCTAATAACCAACCAAGTCTTTCAGATGATGCATCCGAGGCCAAGCACTCCCTTGTATCTCAGACCTAGAACTGGCCTCCCTGTCTGCCAGCCACGTTCACTGTTTAAGCATGAAGGATTTAGCCCAGGTGGATAGGGGGAGCGGCTCTCAGCCCAATCTCCAGGACTGGCCCACAGTGGGCCTGCCCTCCTGCCATCACGGGGAAGCCAGGGAATCTGAAAGCCTGGATGTTCCTGCTGGAGCCACACCAGCAGCCCTCGGAAGTCCCATTGCTCCTTCTCAACCCTCGGAGCTGTGACCATGTGCACTCAGGCAAGATGTGATGTGGACGGCAAGAGGGAGGCCCCATAGGCTCTGCTTTCACTGGAAGCCTCGTCATAGAGACCCTGGGTTTCGGCTGCAGCAAAAGCACTGGCAGGGCCTCTTGCTCTCTTCTGTGTTCTAGATCTCAGCCAGTGCATGTGAGTGGCTGAAGCAGAAATCCTACCCAGAACTGGGGCTGTGAGGGAGCCTGGGAAAGGCTGGGCCCACCTCCAGCTTCTGCGTCATGGGGAGCACAGCAGAGGATGTCTTTCTCCACCTGCTTCATCCATCCAAGTGCTACTGTCCAGCCATCGAGGGGCATCAACTGTCCTCTCTGCCTTAATGACATCTGTCTCCTGTGACAGACAGGATCATTTGCTCCCAGGGGTGGGGTGGAGTCAGGCCCCAGGGAATTCAGACCAAGACCTACTCCCCGCTGCCTCTCCCTTGGTGAAGTTGGGAGAACATCTCTCCCTTTTCCGTGTATTTTTCTCACAACCAGTTCCCTTGGACTCTTACCTTCAAGCACCAGTGCTCTTAAAAATATTTCCTGCAAATAGAGACAGTGCTGTCCCCAAGAGGAATTCTGGGGATGAAAAGATTTTCCATCTCATTACAGGTGTAATTGCTCTTTTCTCCCTTTGTTTGCAAGTCATAGAAATGCGCACAGACTGGCTTATGCAAGAAAAGGAATTTACCGGTTCATAGAACTAAAAAGTCTGAGGTGGACTTCAGGTGTGGCTGGATGTAGGTGCTTCAGTGATGTCATCAGCCATCTCTCTTTTCTCCTTGTCTCTTCTCTGCTTTCCTCCACAGTGCTCAGGAAAAAATCTCCCAAAGAGGTGGCAAAAATGGTCATTATCAACGCTTTGTTTTCATTTCACAAGATTGGTCATCCCAGCAGAAAAAATATGTCTGCTTCCCAAGAGTTCTCACCAAACTCCCAGAGTGGATTCTTATTGTCCCAGCTTAGGTCAATATCCCTAAGTCTAACACTGATTGGCCGGGTCTGGATCAGGTGCCTGCCTCTGATAGCACCATGGTGGGCCCCATCTGGCCTCCTGAATGGAGGATAACAGACAGATGTTGTTGCCACACGGCCAGCTGCCATTTTCTCCACTGCAGTTACCCAACCTCTGTCCCACTCACTGGATCCATCCTCAGTGCTCTGCTCCTCCTTAATGCACCTGGGGATGGCACCTGCTTCCCAGGTTATTGTGGGCAGCAGGGCACTGGTGGGGTGGGGTCCCCAGATGGGCATTATGGGCTTGAGCCCTGGAACATGCCTTGCTTTCAGGCCCCTCCTCAGTGTCCCCTCTCCTGGGCTTTGAGATTAGGGGCCTTTCCAGAACAGTGAGGGGTGAAGCAGGATAGCGAGATTCTGGCTGTCACGTGGAAGCCACCCCCCGGTTATCACTGGGGGTGGCGTGGACATACAGAGGCTTCACCTTAAGGCCACCCCACATGTCGTGGTCCTTGCATTCTCCAGCTTATTTCTATCATGTCCTGAAGCACATTCACACCAACACAGGGCCAGAGATACCAAGAACTCCCACAGCTCCCTGAAGACTCTGCTTCCCGGGGGGTTTTGGAGAAAATATTCCCTACAACCTTCAGCTTTTCCTCTCTGTCCCTCCCACAGTGGTCAGCACTCACTTTCTGAAGCTTGGCCCGACTTCACTCCAGGCTGGAGCCTCTGTGGATGTCTCTGTTGTGTAGCCACAGGCCTAGCTGCTAGGCCTGTTTTCAAGGCCTCTGGTGACTGAATCTGCACCTCTGTTCTGAATTCACCCCAAGGTGCCAGCCACTAGTGTTTAGGCCAGTTAGGCCCTTCTTGACTCTGAGCCTTCTCCTGGGGGCCCTGGTAGGAGCCCTCCGCCTCCTTTAGACCCCACTCCCATCCACCAGGGTCACCTCCTTCTGTCTTGCAGGACATCTGATTCTACATCACTCTGCAACGACACTTCTCTGGTCTGCTTGTCACTGTCCCTCAGAGATGCTGCCTGTCCCTCTCCCTCAGAGATGAGTTCCCAGTGACTCTTGCAGGATGACAAAGCACCATCAAAACAGTGCCTTAAGACAACAGCAGTCACATTGTTTTCTCTGGTGGGCGGTGCTGGACGGGGCTGGCTCGGCATCTCCTGTGTGGTTGCTGCCAGGTGCAGAGGTGGGGCAACTGGGCTGGCTGCATCTCTGCATGGTCTTAGGGCTCCTCTGTGTCTCTGAGCCTGGGCTAGTTTGGCTTTCTCTCAGCATGGTGGCCTCAGGCAGCTGGACTGCCAGTGTGGTGGCTCAGGGCTTCAAGGGCTTGTCCTCCAGGGAGCAGACACCACAGCACCTTTTATGATCCAGCTTTGGAAGTCATGGAGCATCAATTCTGCCATATCTGTTGGTTTAAACAGCTACAAACCCCACCAATCTCAGTCACTCATAAGAAGAGCAGGTGGGACAGGAGATCTTGGCATTGTTGTCTTTGGACAACTCCTTTGTGCAGGTGAGGAGGGAGGAAGACACATCTCTGGATCCCCGGGAGCGGCCAGCACAGTCAGCCCCAGACATGCCCGGGAATTCTCTGCCCCTTCCCCCTGTTGGGGGAATCACAAATTCTGCCTCAGTGAAGAGAGTTTACACCCCCATAGCATCTGAGGGTCAAAGGTGCCTTCCAGGAACCTGATTTGTCCTCCCTAGCTCCCTCTGGGACCCGTTCTCTGCAGCCCAGGGGAGTGGAGCCTGTGTGGTCTCCTGAGCATCACTGCAGAGTTGATCTTCCTACCTCCAGGGAGATCGCGAGAGAGTCCAAGTGTGCCCAGTGTAGATCTCAGCCCCACTGCTTTGGAGCTGGGAGACCCTGACACACAACTTAACCCGAGTCTCCATTTCTGCACTTGCAAAATGGAGATAATAATGCCCTCTTCTCAGAGCTGCGACCAGGATCGATGGAGATAATAGATGAGAAAATGCTTGGCTGGGGCAAAAGTGCAGTCTCGGCAGAGTGTTCTCCCCCAGCACCCCTCCCACCTGATGCAGGACTTAATGAGAGCTGGCTGCTCCCTGGGATCTTTAATTAATTGCCCCAGCCCCACAATCCCAGTGCCAGCAGATTAAATCCAGCCACGGTGGGAAGTAGACTGAGGACTGCTTTGGATGCAAATGCCTGAAGCGAAGAATTTCTGCCTGTGAAATGGCTGAGTGGGTGATTTTAGAGCAGCTGCACTTGGGGCTGCCCCCAGGGAGATAACCCTCCCCACCCTCAGCAGAATCAGTGCAGCCAGAGGGTGCCCTTTTCTTACCAACTCATCTCCGGTGCCTGTGGGGTGGGAACCGAGGCCTGCCAGTCGCAGCCCCAGCCCCAGCCCCAGCGTGCCTTGGCCGGCCCCAGAAACAGGAGGAAGGATACAGGCAGATCAGTTCCACAGTGACCTAGAGGTAACCATCCAGGTGCCCTCCAGGTTCCCCAGCTGTTTTGTTCCTGAGGCAGTGCTTGGCCTGCCCTCTGCCCTCCAGCTCCTCCTGCATCAGGCCTCAGCCTTTGCTGTCTCCGTGGCTTGGGATACTGTTTCCTGGCTGTCACAGCAGGGCTGTCTCCTCTGCAGCCTCCAGGGCTCCATGTGAGTGTCTGTCCTCGAGGGATACCCTCCTGGGCACCCCCAGGCCGCTCTTTGCCTCACCTGCACAGCTCCTGCAGCAGAGCCTGGAAAGCTCCCCCACCCTCACCCGACTTGTTTTGTCACCTCGCCTGCTGGTTGTCAGCCCCATGGAAACCTGGCGTCGGTGCCTGGGACCAGCTACAGGGGCTCTCAGGAGGGCCTGGCCCAGGTCTGGGACAGGGAGGGAGGAGTAGGAGCAGGCAGAGGGGACACTGAGCTTCACTGCAGGCACAAAGGCAGCCAGGACTCCGCTTGGACCCAGGACTGGGGTAGACCAGAACTGTCCTAAGCAGGGAGTTGTCCATGCCTGTGTGGCTGAGTCATAGGACGTGGGCCTGGGGAGGATGGCAGCAGGGGTGGTGTCTGTTTGCAGCTGGGGGTGATGCTGAGCACATCTGGTTACAGCCCCTAGCAGCTGGGCAGCACATCCTTCCATGAAGCAGGTCTGAGGCACATCCCTGCATGTCCCACAGAGGTAAGTGCCTTCACCTCTAAGTAGACAAAGCACTTGTAACATAGTGGGCGCTTAGTTACTTTTTGGCTGGCTGTATAAGGTCTAGTCCCTACCAAGCACCCCAATTCTGATAACTTTTGGTTGTCTGTGTCTGAGTCCCTGTTCTGCAGCAAAGGACACCCATACTGTGGAGCCCAGGGTCCTGTGCTGGGAGCTTCCCACAGCCTCTGTTGCTCCTCCTCCCCGCTGGCCAGTGGGTCCTACTGTGTCTATTACGGATGAAGAGGTGAAGGTATGGGCCCCAGGACGTGGCGCTCTAACCCCTGTGTTCACTGCCACGCTGAGCGTGGCTCCCCGGGAGCCTGACCTTGAGGTCTGGCATGGATGAACCCTCGGCTGGCCTTCCTCCCTTTGCCCCTGGCCTGCACCCAGCACGAGCGCCTCTGGGAAACACCCCAACCCCCAGGACAGTCCGAGTTCCTGCCCTCTTCAGCCCGTGCTTGCCTGAAGATGGCTGCGTCTTTCAGAACCTGCATCTTCAGTGACTGCCCAGACCCCCTTCAGCCCCCACTCCCCACCTTCCTGGACCCACAATATGCAGCCACACCCCAGGCAGCCCAGGTCCCAGCAGCGGTGCCACACATTCCCAGAATGCTTACTCTGTGCCAAATTCAGCCTGTGCCTCTCCACAGCCAATCCTGCACTTGCCAGCCCCTGACTCTGTATCTGCACACAGGGCCTGGGCACTTGAGACCCCAGACTTGCCACCAGCTCCTCAGGACCCCTGCTCAGGTCACCTGTGTAAGGAGAACACAGTGCCATTGTGTTTAGATATGCTGCTGGAGATTTAAACAATTAAATAGTCCTAGTGATCTGTTTCCACAACAGAGGATGTCGTTCTGAGATGTTTTCTATCAGAGACAAAGTCAGCTTCTCTGTCTTTGTGTGAATCGTTTACTAATTTGAGGACACAACATTTTAAATAACACTTTAATTGATATGGAATTCACATTCCTTAAAATTTACCTTTTAAAAATAAACAATTCAGTGCGGTTTTTTTTTGTGGCATTCACCAATATCCAATCCCAGAACATGTCACCCCAAAAAGAAACCACAGCCATACCCTGTGGCCTGTCCCCACGCCCTCGCACCCACCAATCTACTTTCTGTCTGCAGGGATGCACTATTCTGGACCTTCGTATAGATGGAATTTGCCTTGCAGATGGTGCAGCCCCATGCCTGGCTTCTTTCACCAGCCATAGGGGTTTCAGGGCCGCAACACTTCATTCCTTGATTCTTCTTCTTTTTATTTTTTTAGATGGAGTTTTGCTCTTGTTGACCAGGCTGGAGTGCAATGGCATGATCTCAGCTCACCGCAACCTCTGCCTCCCAGGTTCAAGCGATTCTCCTGCCTCAGCCTCCTGAGTAACTGGGATTACAGGCATATGCCACCACGTCCAGCTAATTTTGTATTTTTAGTACAGATGGAGTTTCTCCACATTGGTCAGGCTGGTCTCGAACTCCCAACCTCAGGGGGTTGGCCAGCCTTGGCCTCCCATAGTGTTGGGGTTATAGGCGTGAGCCACCGCCCCCGGCCGATTCTTTTATGGTTGAGTAATATTCCACATGGATGTGCCACGTTGCATCCACCCCTTCAGCACTTGATAGACATTTGAGTGGTTTCTACCGTTTCCACTTTTATGTCTTTACAAGTGTTTTAATAAATCTTTGTCTAAGCATTTTCCCCTAATGCTTCAATTTTGAAACACTAGAAAATCTTATTATCTGTATACCATATACTTTGTAAAATTTGCCTTTTTTCTTCAAGTTCCCTACATAATGCAAATGCGCAGCTTCTTGCAGAACTATTGCTACAGGGCCACCAGGATGTGTCACTAGAGGACTGTGCCATTTCATCCTTGTGTGGGTCTGGGTCACAGCCACCCACGTGCTGTGCTCCCTGGCTGCCTCTTTTGTGAAAAAGAGGGTGAGGAGGACCAGCAAGGAGACACGCCCACTTCAGGGGAACACCTCCTCCCACAGGTGGGTGCTTTGTGGGGGGAGCCATATTCACACTTCTGCATACTTAAGGCAAGAGAATATTAATGCCCATTTTACAGATGGGAAAACTGAGATAAAGACAAGTCCAGAGGTAGCAAGAGACTGAGCAGAGATGCACCTCAGGATTGCCCTGGAGGCTTCCCCTGCTCAAGGCTGCCTCCTGCACAGCCCAACAGCCTCTAGCAGGCAGGGTCATGAATGGGACCCTCCGGTCTTGAAGGAGGATCAGCCCATTAGCATCCCTCTCCTCTTCTCTACCTGCCTTAAGGGAGGAAACCTCTACTTAATCTTCAAGGAGACAACTTAACTACAGGTGATATAGGGTGTTTAGCTTTTAAAGTGAAACTTAGGACTGGAGTCTTCCCCTTGGGTACTGGAATACACTTTCCCAATGCACTGCCTTATCCAAACATCCAGGGCTGGCAGTGAGGCAGCTCGGGGGATGAGGGCTGGGCGTGTGTATAAAATTCCTGACCCTCCAAGAGCCTTGGGAAGCCGAGAGTAGATGTGTGCTGATCACCACCACCTGAGGGTTCCAGGACACAGACATCATCGTCCCTGTTCTACAGAGGAGGAAATGGAGCTTTCTATGCAAGTTACATCCTTCTTCACATTGTGGCTTTTGAGGGGCAGGGGTCTTACTGGGCTCCCTGTGTCTCATGTCCTGCACAAGGCCTGGCTCCGAGGAGGGGCTGCACAACCTTCCTGCACAAGAATGAAGGCGGGAGCGAAGCAGTGACTGTGTGAGTCCATGGGAATGCCCAGGACCAGCACTCAGGACCTTTGTCTTCTGGTCAAAGCACCAGGGAGCAGATATGAGCAGCTTCGGCAAGACCCGGCTCAGCTGAATGAGGCCGAGTGTCTTAGGTCATGAACAGTACAGAAAGAGCTGTCCCTCTTCAGAACCAAGCACTGTGGGGAGGGAGGGTGTGGTGAGGGTCATCACCTCCTGCTCCGCTCCCCTGGCCTGAACGGACTGGGCAGGGCAGCCCTGAGGAGGGGCCACTGGACAGCAGAAATTGAGAGCAGCCTCCCTCGGGTCTGTCTGTTCTGCTCTTCAGTTTTGTCAAAGGTCATTTGAAAACTGGTCACAACAATATTTCCTGCTTCTTCTCAGCAACAGTCAAAGGCCCTATCCGTGATGTTATAGATAATAAATGGCTTTTGATTTACTGGCAGGAAAAACAATATCACTGCCGATGCAATCTTATGCTGTCTTCTTACCAGTTAACAAGGGCGGGGTTGCTTGATGAAGAATCAAGTGGTTACATGTGTTCATTCACCAAACGTTTATTGAAAAACTGCTTGGGTTGGGATTGGCCCAGGGCTGAGAACACTGAGGTGGCCGGGACACCGTCTTTGACCTCTGGGAGCTCACAGTCTAGTTCCACTCTTTACTCTGGCCACTGGGAAGTTTATGGCTGCAATCTGAAACCTTCATAATTGAAATATTTGCCCCTCTTCCTTTCGTCAGTTCTGATCTTCTATTTCTATTTTAATTTTATTCTATGCATATCCTTTATTATCAGCAGTTGTAATATACTTTTATATGGGGATAAAAAAGGAAAAGATACAGATGGCAGATTAAGCATGCACCCCTCCCCCACCTCCTCCTCCTGCTCCAGATCCCTGGAAATGACAGAAAGTGTCTTTCTGTCTCTTTGCCTCTCTCTTTCTCTCCCGCTCCCATGAATCCAGAATAGCTCTAGAAAACAATGACCAAAGAAGTGCCATAAACAAGGCAGAGATGCTGAGGAGTTCCTGAGAGTTTGAACACAGAGGGACTGGCTGGATGAAGAATCCCAGGTGGGAGCTGCCCATGGTGTTCTAAAGGCAAAGCTCGCAGACAAGGAGCAGAAGGCTTGGAGACAGTTGCTCAGGTGTCTGGGTGCAGAGCTGGCGTCTGAGTAATTGTCAGGCTCCCTCCTCTTCCCTGACACCTGTCAACAGGGAGGTGGGAGGAAGTCTGCCTCCAGGCTGGAGCAGCGGAGTGGCCATTGAATAATCCTCTGGTGATGGGGGATCTGAGAGAAACTGAGGTTCCAGGGGGGACCCCCTACCATACCCCCACTGCCACAGTAAACAAAAGCAACTGGGGAAACCATAATCTCCCCTACAAACATGAGCATCCATCCCAAATCAGCAAACCAAAATACAGCATTCAATAACTAGGGAACTAACACCCAGGGAGACGCGGCTAGCAGCACAAAGAGAAAAGTAGAATTAACATCTTCAGAGGGACAAGTTTAAGATAGTAACAGTGTGGAAAAGAGCCAGTTACAGGTCTCAGGAATAAAGCCATTGAAGTCAGGTTTCAGTGGCAGGCTGAACAGTGAGTGGCCACCTCTGAAGGCGACTTGGTGAATGTGACCATGGAATGAGGAACTCTCCCGGTGCAATACTGAAGAGGTGGAGAGAATGAGAGAAAGGTGCTGTACAAGCTCAAGTTTTCTAAGTGCACTGGTGGGCATTCTATACAGGGTGTGTGGAGGGGTTCAGATCCATGACTAAGGCACAGCTGGTCAGACAAAGGGTCATAGTGAGAACACATTAGAGGAAGGTGCATTGCTCAGAGATCTGGGACTAGGAGCTGCTGACGTTATCTCAATGTGATTTGGGTTGTATCCCTTCGAGGAGGGAAATGTATTTTGGATGTACGTGGGATGAAAGCATAATTTAAGCAAGGAAGAGTTTTGAGATTTTATGCATGGTGAGAGCGTGTGTTTCTCTTCTGAGCAGCCAAGGGGTGGATTGTAGTCGGCTGTTGCCGCTATGTTGTGTGCTCTCAGAATGCCTGCCACCTCCCTTTTCCAGTGATATTAGCACCACTTGCCTTGGGGGAACTCTTGTCCCATTCCATGTGGTCCTGTTGAACCTACCAATTAAGGTCCTCCCTTCCCCCACTGGCTACGTGCACCCCGCCCCCCCCCAACACACGGAGTCACCAGGATAGCCACATGGTCCTGGCTGGACTACTAATGACATCCTATTTGCCTAGGGCAGTTGGAATGTGACCCAAGGCAGACCAACAATCCTCTCTGAAAATATTCTTTAAATGTGGTGTGGGAGAAACAGTTTCTTCTGGGATTGTATGTCTAGGGTTGCCAGTGGCTGTTTCTTCTGATGCTTATAAAATTTCTGTCTGAAAAATGGAGCCAGACATAGATAGGCAGAGATAAAAACAAAAAGAAAAGTAAAAAGCTGTTTTGGCATCATTGGAGGCCCTCAAGCTAGCTGTGCTTAAGATGGAAACGTCCACAGCCTATCTTGTTAAGGAGCAAACCCACCTCTCACCAAACCAGAACACAAAACCCCAAACTTTCTTGCTTTTAACCATTTTCAGTTGGGTGCCCTTGTGACCAGTATCATCATGACTTATATAGGATCTTTGAAAATAGTGTTGTATTTGTATATGAATATCATATCTGAATATCTTTCTGAAGTCTCTTCTTGAATTTTCCAGATAGATGTTTACAGTAGCTGCGAAGACTTATAGTTTTATCCTTTTCTTTCCAATATTTACCCTTCGTCTCTTTTTCCTCTTTTTTTTTTTTGCCTCATCTATAATCCCTAGGATATAGAATGGTAATAGTGGGCATATTTGATTTGTTTCTATTTTTTCACTCATTCACCATTGATTTAACATTAGCTGTGTGGCAGAGGTTGCTCTAGGTCCTGGAAATACAGATGTGAACAAGATGGACAAAGTCTGTCAGAAGCTTTGAGGAGAAACAAGGATGGGGAGAGTGAAAGTGTATAGTGGGGAAACTGGATGCAGCTGTACCCTGGAGAATATGAGGTCTTCCTGGAAGAAATCATGCCAATGATACCCTGAGTCTTTTATAATGAAATCTGATCTTTCCTATTTGGTTTCTGATAAATACTCTATCAAAGGTAAGAAAGTTTCTTTTTATATTCTGTTTACTGAAAGCTTTTTTAAAAAAATCAGCAATGGATGTTTGATTTTATCAAATTCCTTTTTACAGCCATGAACATAGTCCAAGCCCTCCTTTTTAGCCTGTTAATGTGAACAACACCAAAAGCTCTGCTAATATTGAACCAGCCTTGCATTCCTATATTTCTGCATTGTATTAGCATATTATTCTGTTACTAATATTGGATTCATTCTGCTAATATTTTATTCAGGAGTTTTGCATCTTTTTATAAGTCAAAATTAGTTTAGTAAGTATATTTTGTTAAGTTTTATGAAATGAAGTTAGAAAAATTTCCCCCATCTCTATACTCTGAAGTAGTTTAGGTTACATGGGTGTAATCTGGATGTCAGCTGAGATGTCTCGTCCTTG